TGGTCATCAATGGTGGACGACATTAGATGTACTAAAGAATGAAACGGTTTGACGGAGTCATGTAATAATTAAACTTTTTATCTAGTGCTCTAGCAGTGGTGACATACTTTTAAAGTTGCAGATGATAACGGCATAAAACCTAAAGTAATTTGTGATTAATTAATATAAATATCCCTTTATTAGTTGAAATTTAAGACCCTGTTTGAATACCTGGCATTCAATTGATCATTTTAGACTATTTCATAGTAGTTCCATCTTCTCTTCCATTAACGGATGCCATTGTTCAATATCGGGAATGCAATCAAGTAAGAAGGAACCATACCATTTTCTCCTTGCTGATTAATATGTATCAAAATTTGCAGTATCTTAAATCTGGGAGTACTTGATTGGAATAAGAACCTGATGAGTGGCTCAAAAAGCAGAAACAAAATCTTCTAGTTGTTTCTCTGCTTTCTTTTGACTCTTTTCTCTATTTTTGTCAGAGGCCTCCTGCTAATGCCAATGTGGCAGAGACTTCAAGGTCCAGGACCTTGTTTTAACATAAAAACTTTGGATTAGGTCAACTCTTTTATGATAATATTTGTGGAAGTAAAGGATAAAATGAAATGTGACAGGGCAGTGAATAGTGAGATGAGTGAGAGATGGGAGGGAGGCATGCCAGCACATTGCTGTGTGTGTGCTCAGGATCTCTTCCAGACCAACTTAGACAATTAAGTTCAAGAGGGATTTGCAGTTGACTTATTTTGATTCTTGTTTGAAAAAAATGCACTGGTTGCGTGCCCATCTGATTGTGAACTCGTGTGGGTTGAGGAGATTATGCAGATCTTGTACATTTTTAATGTTCGTATTCATCATGTCAGACAAAGTAGTTGAGGCTGGACTTTTGAAAGTGAAACGTTGAATTTATATATTATTTTAAAGGATTTGTTTTACCCACCTATGTGGCTGGAGCCAGGAACTTTTAACGAATGTAAAGAAGGTAGTTAGTGGGAATCGTTCCTTTTTTCATATTGATTTAGTTTATAGTTTGTTATTTCTAATACAATGTTGCTCATTATTTCTGGATGGTGTATTGTAAAGTTAGCTCCATTCCAAGCCATAAAGAGAGAAAAGAGAGTTAATGCATAACTCCGAAAGTTACTAGTAGTTTTTTTTGTTTTTTTTATGATCGAGAGGTGTTCGGACATTTGCAATATTTTAATAACTAATCCCTTAAACCCTGAAACTATGGTCGGGTAAGAGCTCCAATGGTCACCCTTATTAACAGTGTGGATTGAATCGAAAGATCATGTTAAATTCCTCTTTCTCTTTTACCATCAAGGGACTTGAACTTAAGAAATATGTTAATTCTATTGTGTTTTTACCTTACACCCAATGGTGATTGTTTAGCAGTATTTGCCATGCACAACCTCCTTATTTGCCGTTACCACCGGGCTACTCGGGTGGAGACCCTAAATTTCAATCATATAAAGTTGAATTAGCATACAAACTAAATAATGAAAGGTTTAATGAGCTCACTCTTTAAATGGACAACACAACTTTTAGGTATTCAAAGAAAGAAAGATTGATCATGCACAATTCATATATCCAGATGATCTTCATAAATTTCTGTATTTTTTTTTTTTTTTTTTTTTTTTTTTTTGGTGCATTTGGTCATTGTAAGTGAAAATGGGTTGTTTTTCAAATTTTTAGATTCTGGTTGCTTTTTGACGAATCCAGTTCGTTGGGTCATTTTAAATAATTTTTTCACCAAAAAAAGTAACTGTAGCATCTTTGTTTATATTACTATACTTTCAGGCTCACTTGCCGTGGACAAGTTGTATATCCGCTTCCCCCTCTTTTATTTTGATTCAAATTAGCTCTCTGCGTAAACAAAACTTATTAATGAAATCTAATGGAATTGATAAATAGAATACTAGTGCAGTTTTGCCTATGTACATATTATCACTGTTCACCTGAAATATATTCATTCCCTTACACTGTATAATCCTTATCAACTTTGTGTAACAATTTAGCTTCTGATCAGAAGGGTTAAAGGGAAAATAAAAAAAAGTAAGAAGATTAAGAGATGAAGAAGAAGGAGAAGAAGAAGAAGAAATAAGAGGAAAAAGGGCTGAATACATTAGAAGATAATTGCCATACACTATTATTTAATTTTTATACAACATATCGTCATTTTCTCTAATGTTCTCTCAAGTAAGTTCCTTCTTGGATTTGCGTTTTGAAGAAGCTTTTGATAGCACAGAAACGATGGATTGAAAGCATTTGCAGCTATTCTCGACTTTATCTGCCTCTCTTCGGAAGAGGTTTTCTGGTCTTGAAACTTCTACTGAGTGCACCAGCCGGAATATCTCAACCTTGTTGTTCTGATTGATGACATTTCAAGATTTTTCTCTGAAATTTTCTGCTTTGATAGAAGTTTGGATATATGACCAAGTTGCATTCGGTTGACCATTTATAGCAACTCCAAAATGGATTCCAATGCTAGGGGCTCGGCTGATTGATCTGGCATGAAATGGAAGCTAAAATTAGTCTTTTGAGATTGGCGGCAGTTGGGTGGCATGCCAGCATTTGCCTGGCTGTACAAGATTCCTTTCAGCTCAACTCGAGACAAGATGAATTTTTAGGTTGATTTTATTACTACTTGGAAAATATATATATTATATATATAATGATATGTATGATTCATTTATATTATGAGCTTTGTCTGATCATGAACACGTGCGGGTTCTGGGTTAGAAAGGTATATCTAGGGTTCTCCTGTGGTATATGTCTCTCTTTGTTGAATTTTTTAGTGAAGAAGTTGACAAAGAATGAGAAAAGAAGAATTAATAAATAGTAGATTAGTATTTTTTTTTTTTTTTTTTTGTTGTTGACAGACAGATTTGTAAGTTTAAATGCAATTTGGTTGTTTTCAGTGAGCAAGGATTATATAAATATAATTTCGTGTTTGTCCATGTTTTCAGGGATACCTCCTTGGTAATGTCAAAATGTTGTATCAGTATTGCCTAAAAAACACGCCACACTGTTCTATTTTATGTGTGTCTGGTGCTGCATCACATGGTCAAGTAGCTTCTTCTTCGTGACATATCATATACAGAGAGAGAGAAGAAGACGATGACATCCACCATGATGAAATTACTTATGCGTCCGTCTCTGTCATTAAACACTGCCATCTAGTTCAATAATTTCAAACACAGAGTCCAATAACTATGCACAGTTCACCAATCACAAGCTTTAGAAACATTCCTGCATAATAATCGGTAGGCCAGTCTAATCAACGCAGCCATTTGAAAATCTGAAGTTTGTCACCGGATGCATGGGCAGCCATTCCTAGAAATACATGTTTAAGGAGAGTCTAATCCCTCGCACTCGAATATCTGCCAGCTATTCGCCTTTTTCTTAATACTATATTGAAAGGGTACTAAAATATCATTAAATAGTACTAAAATTTGGGAAACCAGACGGCTAATTAGACAATGATACTGTTTTTGTTTTTGCACATCAATCTGTTGGTTCCAATTATTCTATCTAACTTACCTCAAATGCTAATTACATTATCCATTGGCGCTCAATAATTCTGCTGGCATGTCCCTTAACCCCCACACTCTATTCAACGTCCTAACTATTTGTTATTTAGTCCTATGTTTAGGCCTAGCAAGCTATGTTGCAACGTACTTTCTAGGAAGACGATGCTTAACGACTTCAAATCAACACAATTTTACTCCATGAAATCAGCTTCGGCTTTTTGATCAAAATATGTTTTTTTTTTAATAACAAGTGTTGAGTCAGTTTAGACGCATCTCAAGTATCCTCAGAAGAGTTATCCTTAATAATGGAGTTCGGAGTTAACTTACCATATTCGACTAATCTTCACTCACCGCTATAGTGCGTACCTTAACTAATCTTCAAGCAACCCACTTGTCCCAAGTAAATCATGAACAAAGATCTACATTTACGTCTAGCAACGGAAATGAGCTAGGAGGTGGGTTGAACCATTTGCATTCCCCTGCTTCCACTTACCACTAGCTCATAGGTGGTCAAAATATGTATTTACTTTAACCTCAAAGGGAAAGAAAGAAAGATGGTAATAAAGCAGCCATTTAATTTAAAAATCTTATGCAAATTTAAGAGTAAAGATTCTTTGGTTTTATGTCAAGCAACTGAATTAAAGCGACAACCACATTTGATGATTCCTCTTCTAATGTTTTAAGGCACATGTTAATTTATTCTTTGCTCTATTTTGTCACAAATGTTACTATGTTGGTTATCCTTTATTAATTGTACCCAACTCTCAAAACCACAATCCATACATTGCCATCTCATCATTCTGAAAGCAATGGCCGCTGCCATCAATTTCTCAGGGCAAGCCCTACCACGAAGTGTGGGCTTCAAAGCAAGGGAAGGAATACCCTCATCTCCTTGCCCCAAAAGGTCATGATGCTAAAGCAGCAAAAGATGAATTACAACACTGGAATGTCCATGAGAAGCACAGCAGGGAGAAAACCTCCATAACTGTAGTGTCATCAACACGCTTTGATGATTATGAATCAAGTCCGTTTTCTGATCCGATACGATAGCCGAGTTCTACAAATGTATCAATGAGAGAACTTGCAGGAATTAGATGCTTACATCTCGACGATTGCTGCTTGAGGAATGCTCCTTCCTAAACCATTTAAGGGGAAAAAGGTAACTCTCTAGTCTCCTGTTGTTTTCTATAATTTAACTAACGTACATGCAATATTTTTGTTTCCCAAATGGAACCTAAAATTAGATGCACAGGAAGTTGTGCAATTCTTTGAACAACTTATGGCAAGCATGGGCCGATGTGAAGTTCAATGTCGAACACATTTGTGAAGATGATGACCTTAAGCTGGGGTAAATTGCGCTTAGGTAATATCATCTATCATTGTGTCACCTATATTGCATCTATCTTATTTCTATAACTATATTATTCACGTACGAGCAATTTCATAAATTCAAAGAATTTAACTCAGAATGAAAGGGGCATATATTCCTTTCACCAGAGGATGCAGCTTCTATGAATGCTCAACAGAAGGAGACAGATTACTAATAAAGTAAAGATAAGCAAACATTAAACCTATTGTCAATCGCATTAAGAAAACACAATTTGATTCTAATCAATAATCACAATGCAGGAAAGCCCGGGTTGTAATCGAGTCACCAATCAAACCAGGAGGCATAGTGCTGGTAATTACAAACTTTCTCCTGGCAGTTTATTAATTGTTAGTATTAAACGAGGTGTTTTAATTTAAACAGGTATACTGTAATATTTCTTTTTTTTTTTTCCCCACAATGTGGTGTCTCTATTCTGATGTATCAGACTCTTTTGAAGAATTTGACTTCACTATTTGAGATTTCCCTAAGACAACCGAATGTAAGATTCAAACTCAAGTCATTTACATTTCAAAACCAGAATTTCATACAAAATTCAAAGCATCAAACTGAAGTAGCTTACTGGTTCTACTCAGCAGGGTTACTTAAGAGTCCTCAAGTAATAATACAGTACATAGTAAATCTACACCATGTTTTTGGCGGCTTTTATCAACCCAATTGTGACAGGCTACATCAACATGTGGAACTTCGTGATTCGATTACTTGGCTTTGCACTCAACATTCTAATAAACATTCTAAAGATTTTTCTCAAGTAAAGACTACTTACAAGTTATGCTTTCCTTTGTACACAAGCTCCACGTTAAAGGTTAAAGCTTCATACTCGTAGTCTTTAATCATCATCCTCATGCTACTCCACCATGTTTCAAGCAATGAAGAGCAACCAATGGGCCAATGATAGGAGGAATTGGTGGGGCTTGCTGAAGGCTGCAATAGGCTCTGCATTCTCCGTTGTGATAGCCCTCCACTGTGGAGTCATTATTTACCAGTTTCTTTGGAGTTGTCGTGCCCACTCTATCTGGTTACAATAACACATTGCTGTCATGTAAGAATTTGTATTTGTTGTATAATATAATAAAAGGGCATCACAATTTACAGGAAAAGAAATATACCCCATAATCCTGTGATCGGATAGATTTGTTTCAGTCTCAATTTGTATTTTGCAAGCAACAGTGCAGCAGTTCCTCTCATGTTCTGAGAAATCAGCAATCCTGAAAAGTGAAAATTATAAACTTTCCAAGAGAAATACATCTCGTCAAATTAGACTAAGCAAATTTTCTAGGGCACCAAATGACTAAGCGACTTTCAGTCAAACAATTGGTAAACGTTTTTACATAGGCTCAAAAATCGACATATTTCTTCGAAAAAATCTAAGCAAAACCATAACGAAATAGTTCGATACTTCAAGTGCGACATGAAATGCAATAGAACTAAGTTGATCAACAACAAGTACAAAGGAAGAACATGAGACTGTCCATAGTCCATACCTGCAACTTCGATGTCGAGTTTGGAGCAATCAAGAGAGAAATGCTCTGCGTTTCAGTTAAACGTGGAGAGGTTGGAAGCTTCGAGACTTTGTCACAAACTAATCAGTTGGTACTAAATGGCCCACGTGTCAAATGGGCTCGACCGCATGTAGTATATGGGCCTCATTTTTTATCCCTATTTAGCTCAGTCCGTAATTTTTTTTTTGGGCCTCAAGTTTGATACTAAATACCCCGTTCCATTACTAAGTACAGACTATTTTAAGTCCCCATTGAGCCGGTGTTTACCTTTCACGTCTCAATTTCAAATGATCAGCCAATATTTGTCTCACTCTCAGATATTTGAAGCCTATTCCGTGCACGTATTCAATTCCATCCATAAGTTTTAGCACATTCACATCAAAGATTTGTTAAGCCACCAAATCAAAGTTCTTAATATTCCCAATTTCTCGGAAATGCTTGAAAAAATTATTATTAAAATAAAGTTTGTGTTAGCTCGGTGGACACTGGTACATATTCTGAGGAGGAATTTTGGCCAATGACAGAAGCCATTACGCAAATGGCATTATGATTATAAAGACGTCATCGAATTCAATTACTTAAGTGAGTCATCCTCGAGCCACAATGTTGTATTTCTCGTGCTCCACGTTTCTTATTATCTTCTGTGTGACCGCCCGTAGCCTTCCACGTTAACCAAACATTATGCTATTCCTTTTATGGATATATAAAATAATAAATATTATTGGCACCAATAAAAATATAAGAGCACTACAAGAAAACAATTAAGTAAAATCATATTGGACTTTTGGATTTCTTGATCCATCTTTTAATCTCTTTATCTAATTCTTCATTGCCTCCCACCTCTTCTAGCTCCTGCAAAAGTTGACACGTTTACCATTACCTTGTGCCATATTACTGTACTTTAAAGAAAAATTATTTGTATATGTTCTACTTGAGGTCCAGAAAAACACCATATGGCAAGCCACTGAATTTTTCGTGAATGAATGAGCTGATATGATATGCCAAAAGGGGACAGAAATTAATATAAATTGATTATAAATTATATATAATCAGATAATTAACAGATTATAGCATACTTGATGAGCTGCAGCAACTCTTCTTAAATATGCACGTCTGCTATGGGCCCTACTGGAAATCGACGGTGTACCAGACCATCATGAAACGAACATGTAGGCCATCCCAAACACTGTGTATCCTAAACCCTGGAATTTTCAGCAAGATCGTGTCAAATAACAAGAGATAACTGTTGATAAAACGCCTAAACTACTTCTGTAAGATGCCAAATCAGTGTTCAGAGGATGTTTGACTCTGACTAAACCGACAGAGGTTCAAGATCTAATGCCTCGATTAACAACAAAACCATAAGGAAGAAGGACGTACGGCGCCGAAACAGAGTCCAGGAACAAGGCCTTTGTTGAAGAAGCCATAAGAAAGAAGAGCAATAGCTGGCAAAGCATTAGTTATTGCAAAACATCATTCAGCTCTAAAGAACCGTCCCTTGGTCGATGATGAGACTGCAATATTTCGAACAGAACAATTAAATTAAGTTATTGATTTGAGTTCAATTAACCCTACAAAAAGAGCTCAGGTTGTAAAAGTAATTAAAGTTGATTCTAGAAAACAAACTGACCTTATGCATATGCCATAATGAAGCATGCCATAGAGCTCTATGCGCCCATCGCGCCCAAAACTCCAGCCCACCTGCATTTCAAGGCACCCAGATACAACTCAATCCCAAATAACAGAGTGCGGCAGAGTTACTCTTTCTACAATATTTGACGAGCACAGCTTAATTGCAAGAATTTGTAACTTACAGCGGCACCAACAGAGAGCGCAAATGTACCGAACATTTCTAGAAGTTGCAACTCTCCCCCTGATAAAAGAAGCAATCAAAAACCAAACCAAGAAATAACATAAAGCAATTAAGTCGTGAAACGCTCATTAAATATATCCCAAGAAAGATTAGTACCTCCATTTCCATGAAAATCTGTAATAAACAGCCAAAACTGCCATCGAAGATATGCCAAGAGTAGACATGATTGCAGCAACGAGGTACGTCTGTCTCTCTGATTTTTTCTTGCCCGTCTCTGATTCTGTGTTTCAACAAAATTATTCTTCTCAATTTAACACCACCTTGTTTACTCTTCTCCATGACCAAACAATTCGCAAACTCTTGTTTTTCCGGTTATGATTCATCAGTGTTGAGAGCGAGTAAGGTAATACAGATACGGAGGTAGGTTTTGCCCTCGACAAAATATCGCGACCAACACGATACGTTACAACACTTGAAGTGGATGAAACTCCATCGTCATATTCAAATCAAAGCTAAACCTAGAGAAACCAAAGTTGAAGTCTGGAAATTATACGAAGAAGTTAGAAATGAGTGCAGACACCGAGTGACCGACAGAGATTGAGGGATGGATCAGTTTGAAATGAGGTTTTAATTTTATAGAGGAGGCAAAATGGTGGAAAAGCTGAAGTTAAGCCAGGTGAAGTGTATGGTGACGTCTAACGTAATAAATCTTTTAAGTTACTCGTCGATGTTTGTAAACTCCGAAGGAACACATTACTCGTCGTGTAAGTAATGAGTCCAGCTGTTCATTGATGGTTCTATTTAGCGGAATGCCCTTCTGTTTTGGATCAACTCGGAGTCCGAGAGGATTTCTTTAGTACTATGCTCACCAATCCATCGACGCATCAGTATTTATCTGAATAAATTAAGAGGGATACCTCCCACAAAGAAGACTGTCCATATCATATAAAAAAATAGTACTAAACATTAGCTCAACTACAACTTTGACTCTTAATGGCGTCATGAATCATGGGGGTATTATGGTAATTCCAAAAAATATGTGGGTTACTTTTTATTTTTGTGAAAAGTTAAGGAGATTCTTGTAAATACCTCTTATTTAAATAAAAAGCTTTTATTTCCCGCGCTACGACCTTCGTTTTTAGAAAAATTTCAAAGAGAAACTACTCTTGAAGAAACTGTTCACAATCAGTCAATCATGCATGAAGAGACTGGCTTGCTCACTCTCTCTCCGAAAACCCTGCATCAAAGCGTTAGTTGTCCAGGACAATCTCCCACAAGCTCTCAGATTTTCCCTCTCTGTCTTCTCTTCACTTCTGACAGACCAAATCTAATCTCTTTTCATCAAAAAAGGCCACTCTCTTGACCGCTTTTTATCCAGTATTCTCATCTCTCACTTCACCAAGCTCGGCGATTTTCATCGTTCTTATTCATTCCTCTCCGACACCCAAAACCCTGATATCGTCACATACAATGCGCTCATTTCCGGTTTGGCCCGTTTCAACCTACCGGGACCCGTTTTCAAGCTTTTTAATTGGTTAAGGCTTGAAGGTTTGAGACCCGACGTGTTCTCCTTGAGTTCTTTAGTTAAGGCTTGTGAAAATTTTGAACACAATAAAATTGCTCATGCGGTTTGTTTGAAATCAGGGTTTAGTTCTGGGGCGTTTTTGGTTAGTGGGTTGGTTGAGAATTATGCGAAGTGTGGAGATATTGTATCAGCTAAGAAATGTTTTAGAGAGTGTTTAGAAGTTGATAATGTGGTTTGTACTGCTATGGTCTGTGGGTATGTGTGGAATGGGGAGTTTGAGAAGAGTAAAGAGGTTTTCATGGAGATGAGAGGTTTAGGTTTAGAGTTAAATGAGTTTAGCTTGACCAGTGTGATTGGTGCGTCATTTTGTCTAGAAGAAGGGGAGCAGATTCATGGGTTTAGTGTTAAAGTGGGTTTGATCTGTGGAGGTTATAATCATTTGAATAACGCGATCATGAATATGTATGCTAGGTTTGGGAAAAAAATGGATGCTATTAAGGTGTTTGATGAAATTGCTGAACCGGACGTTGTTTCTTGGACTGAAAGGATTGGAGCTTCTTCTGGTTGGGTGGAAGCCTTAGAATTGTTTAAAGTTGTGTTCTGTAATGATTTCGAGATAAACGAGTATACAATGATCAATGTGTTGTCTGCTGTAGCAAGTGAGAGGATGTTGAAACCTGGGAAACAAATTCAAGCATTTTGTCACAAGGTGGGGTTTCTGGAGGTAGTTTCTGTTGCAAACGCATTAATATCTATGTATATGAAATGTGGGCAAATTTATGATGCCAGACGTGTTTTTGATGATATAAATTGTAGAGATTCTGTTTCTTGGAATTCCCTGATTGCTGGGTATTCTGAAAATGGATTTACTAGTCAGGCTCTTGAGATGTTCTATCATATGCGTGATTGTTCATTGCAACCTGATAATTATACTCTAGCTAGTGTTCTTGACGCTGTGTCCAATTCAAAATCTATGAAGCAAGCAATGCAAATTCATTCACATGTAATTAAATCTGGATTCATGTTGGATGAATCCATAGTTTCTTGCTTGATAATTACATATGGGAAGTGTGGTGGGATCAATGAATCAAAAAGAGTATTTTCTGAGACTGATATGAAAATCGTGGTACATGTTAACGCTCTGGCTACTGCTTTACTATATGTTGGTAGTCATACAGATGCTCTGGAATTCTTTAGAACCATATGGGCCTCAGACCCTCAAGTGGATAGCTCAACTTTCAGTATTGTCCTTAAAGCGTGCGGTGCTATAACAGATCTGGAATGGGGAAGAGCAATTCACTCCCTAGATGTAAAAACTGGATTTGAACAGGATAGCTTTGTTGAAAGTGCTGTTATTGACATGTATTGTAAGTGTGGAAGCATAGAAGATGCAGAGAAAGCTTTCAGGAATATATCAGCAGAGAATTTGGCTGCTTGGAATGCCATGATGATGGGATATGCTCAACATGGTTGTCATCATGACGTATCTAACCTTTTCAACAATATGTCCAAATTTGGAGTGAAACCTGATGAGATAACATATCTTGCAGTTCTCACTTCATGCTGCCACGCTGGACTAGTGAGAGAAGCACACAGTTACATAGATCACATGTTTGAACTTGATGGAGTGATTCCACGATTAGAACATTATGCTTGCGTTGTTGATTTACTTGGCCGAGTAGGACTACTAGAAGATGCAAAGAAGACCATAGATCAAATGCCTATTCCACCTGATGCTCACATATGGCAAATTCTTCTATCAGCTTGCAACAAACGTGGAAATATTGATTTGGGAAGAGTTGCAGCTAGTAAACTTATTGACCTCCAGCCTGATAATGAATCTGCTTATGTTCTCCTTTCAAATCTCTATGCTTCAGCAGGAATGTGGAATGCTGTTGGAAAATTGAGAAAAGAAATGAAAGATAAATTTATCCGCAAGGAGCCTGGTTCTAGTTGGATTCAAGTTGGAGGATCCACACATTACTTTTATGCTGATGATACTTTACATTCCCAAAGTCAAGAAATATACAAGGAGCTAATAAGGTTATATGAGCACATGCAAGCCTTACCAAAATTGAAAAACTGTTCTTTTCTGAATGATTTCTGAACTATTAAGTATGGAAATCATTTGTATCGTTGTGGCGGCCACAACATATAGTACCTTGAAGTTGGATCTGCTTCCAGGACTTTTAGAGATTGCTGGTCATTTCTTAACAGGTTGGAGCTTGTGAAATAAATCATCATACGATTGCATTTGTCACAGGTACATTTTTTTAACCAGGGAAGTGAAAGTGTAAAGTTTGCTTCGTTATTCTGTGAAAACATTAGTTGCTTGTTGTGGTCATCAATGGTGCACGACATTAGATGTACTAAAGAAAATGAAAACGGTTTGACGGAGGTCATGGTAATAATTAAACTTTTTATCTAGTGGCTCTAGCAGTGGTGACATACTTTTAAAAGTTGCAGAATGATAACGGCATAAAACCATAAAGTAATTTGTGATTAAATTAATATAAATATCCCTTTATTAGTTGAAAATTTAAGACCCTGTTTGAATACCTGGCATTCAATTGATCATTTTAGACCATTTCATAGTAGTTCCATCTTCTCTTCCATTAAGCGGATGCCATTGTTCAATATCGGGAATGCAATCAAGTAAGAAGGAACCATACCATTTTCTCCTTGCTGATTAATACGTATCAAAATTTGCAGTATCTTAAATCTGGGAGTACTTGATTGGAATAAGAACCTGATGAAGTGGCTCAAAAAGCAGAAACAAAATCTTCTAGTTGTTTCTCTGCTTTCTTTTGACCTTCTTTTCTCTATTTTTGTCAGAGGCCTCCTGCTAATGCCAATAGTGGCAGAGACTTCAAGGTCCAGGACCTTGTTTTTAACATAAAAAACTTTGGATTAGGTCAACTCTTCTTTATGATAATATATTGTGGAAGTAAAGGATGAAAATGAAATGTGGTACAGGGCAGTGAATAGTGAGATGAGCTGAGAGATGGGAGGGAGGCATGCCAGCACATTGCTGTGTGTGTGTGCACAGGATCTCTTCCAGACCAACTTCAGACAAATTAAGTTCAAGAGGGGATTTGGCAGTTGACTTATTATTGATTCTTGTTTGAAAAAAATGCACTGGTTGCGTGCCCATCTGATTGTGAACTCGTGTGGGTTGAGGAGATTATGCAGATCTTGTTACATTTTTAATGTTCGTATTCATTCATGTCAGACAAAGTGGTTGAGGCTGGATTTTGAAATGTGAAAACGTTGAATTTATATAATTATTTGTTAAAGGATTTGTTTTACCCACCTATGTGGCTGGAGCCAGTGAACTTTTAACGAATGTAAAGAAGGTAGATTAGTGGGAATCGTTCCGTTTTTTCATATTGATTATAGTTAATAGCTTTGTTATTTCTAATACAATGTTGCTCATTATTTCTGGATGGTGGTATTGTAAAGTTAGCTCCATTCCAAGCCAATAAGAAGAGAGAAAAGAGAGTTAAATGCATAACTCCGAAAGTTATTAGTAGTTTTTTTTGTTTGTTTTTATGATCGGAGGTGTTCGGACCAGTTTGCACATATTTTAACTAATCCCTTAGAACCCTGAAACTATTGGTCGGGTAAGAGCTCCAATGGTCACCCTTATTAACAGTGTGGAGACTTGAACTCGAAAGATCATGTTAAATCTCCTCTTTCTCTTTTACCATCAAGGAGACTTGGACTTAAGAAACTATGTTAGATTCTCATTTGCTCTTTTACCTTTAGGCCACCCAATGGTGATTGTTATTAGCAGTATTTGCCATGCACAACCTCCTTTATTTGCCGTTACCACCGGGCTACTCATGGGTGGGTAGACCCTAAATTTCAATCATATAAAGTTGAATTAGCATACAAACTAAATAATGAAAGGTTTGAAATGAGCTCACTCTTTAAATGGACAACACAACTTTTAGGTATTCAAAGAAAGAAAGATTTGATCATGCACAATTCATATATCCAGATGATCTTCATAAATTTCTGTATTTTTTTTTTTTCTTTTTTGGGTGCATTTGGTCATTGTAAGGTGAAAATGGGTTGTTTTTTCAAATTTTTAGATTCTGGGTTGCTTTTTGACTGAATCCAGTTCTGTTGGGTCATTTTAAATAAATTATTTTTTCACCAAAAAAATTAACTTGTAGCATCTTTGTTTATATTACTATACTTTCAGGCTCACTTTGCCGTGGACAAGTTGTATATCCGCTTCCCCCTCTTTTATTTTGATTCAAATTTAGCTCTCTGCGGTAAACAAAAACTTATAAATAAAATCTAATGGAAATTGATAAAACATTGGTAATATCAATCAAATATTCTGTTTAGAATACTAGTGCAGTTTTGCCTCATGTACATATTTATCATCTGTTCATCCTGAAATATATTCAATTCCCTTACTACTGTATAATCCTTATCAACTTTGTGTAACAATTTAGCTTCTGATCAGAAGGGTTAAAGGGAAAATAAAAAAAAGTAAAGAAGATTAAAGAGATGAAGAAGAAGAAGAAGAAGAAGAAGAAGAAATAGACAGGAAAAATGGCTGAATACATTAAGAAGATAATTGCCATACACTATTAATTTAATTTATTATACAACATATCGTCATTTTCTCTAATGTTCTCTCAAATAAGTTTTCCTTCTTGGATATTGGCGTTTTGAAGAAGCTTTTGATAGCACAGAAACGATGGATTTGAAAGCATTTGCAGCTATTCTCGACTTTATCTGCCCTCTCTTCGGAAGAGGTTTTCTGGTCTTGAAACTTCTACTGAGTGCACCAGCCGGAATATCTCTAACCTTGTTGTTCATGATTGATGACATTTCAAGATTTTTCTCTGAAAGATTTTTCTGCTTTGATAAGAAGTTTGGATATATGACCAAGTTGCATTCGGTTGACCATTTATATAGCAACTCCAAAATGGTATTCCAATGCTAGGGGCTCGGCTGATTGATCTGGCATAGAAATGGAAGCTAAAATTAGTCTTTTGAGATTGGCGGCAGTTGGGTGGCATGCCAGCGAATTTGCCTGGCTGTACAAGATTCCTTTCAGCTCAACTCGAGACAAGATGAATTTTTAGGTTGATTTTATTACTACTTGGATAAAATATATATATATATATATATAAATGATATGATATGATTCATTTATATTATTGAGCTTTGTCTGATCATGAACACGTGCGGGTTGCTGGGTTAGAAAGGTATATCTAGGGTTCTCCTGTGGATATTGTCTCCTCTTTGTTGAATTTTTTAGTGAAGAAGTTGACAAAGAATGAGAAAAGAAGAATTAATGCAATAAGTAAGATTTAGATTTTTTTTTTTTTTTTGTTGTTGTTGACAGACAGATTTGTAAGTTTAAATGCAATTTGGGTTGTTTTCAGTGAGCAAGGATTATATAAATATATTTAATTTCGTGATTGTCCATGTTTTCAGGGATACCTCCTTGGTAATGTCAAAATGTTGTATCAGTATTGCCTAAAAAACAAGCCACACTGTTCTATTTTATGTGTGTCTGGTGCTGCATCACATGGTCAAGTAGCTTCTTCTTCGTCGACATGATCATATACAGAGGAGAGAGAAGAAGACGATGACATCCACCATGATGAAATTACTTATGCGTCCGTCTCTGTCATTAAACACTGCCATCTTAAGTATCAATAATTTCAAACACAAGAGGTCCAATAACTATGGTCACAGTTCACCAATCACAAGCTTTAGAAACTTATCCTGCATAATAATCGGTAGGCCAGTCTAATCGAAACGCAGCCATTTGAAAATCTGAAGTTTGTCACCGAGTGCATGGGCAGCCATTCCTAGAAAATACATGTTTAATGAGAGTCTAATCCGCTCAGCACTCGAAATATATCTGCCAGCTATTCGCCTTTTATTTCTTAATACTATATTGTAAAGGGTACTAAAATAATCAATTAAATAGTACTAAAATTTGGGAAAACCAGACGGCTAATTAGATCAATGATACTGTTTTTGTTTTTGCACATTCAATCTGTTGGTTCCAATTTATTCTTAATGCCTCAACCTCTACCCTCAAATGCTAATTATCATTATCATATACCATTAGCGCTCAATAATTCTGCTGGCATGTCCCTTAACCCCCACACTCTATTACAACGTCCTAACTATTTGTTATTTAGTCCTATGTTTAGGCCTAGCAAGCAATGTTGCAACGTACTTTCTAGGAAGACGATGCATTAACGACTTCAAATCAACACAATTTTACTCCATGAAATCAGCGTCTGGCTTTTTGATCAAAATATGTTTCTTTTTTTAATAACTAAGGTGCTTGAGTCAGTTTAGACGCATCTCAAGTAATCCTCAGAAAGAGTTATCCTTAATAATTGAGATGTTCGGAGTTAACTTACGCATATTTCGACTAATCTTCAACTCACCGCTATAGTGCGTACCTTAACTAATCTTCAAGCAACCCACTTTGTCCCAAGTAAATCATGAACAAAGATACTACATTTACGTCTAGCAACGGAATCGAGCCTAGGACGGTGGGTTGAACCATTTGCATTCCCCTTGCTTCACACTTACCACTAGACTACCCATGGGTGGGTCAAAATATGTATTTACTTTTAACACTCAAAAGGGAAAGAAAGAAAGATGGTAATAAAGCAGCCATTTAATTTAAAAATCTTATGCAAATTTAAGAGTAAAGATTCTTTGGTTTTATGTCAAGCAACTGAATTAAAGCGCACAACCACATTTGATGATTCCTCTTCTAATGTTTTAAGGCACATGTTAAATTTATTCTTTGCTCTATTTTGTCACAAATGTTACTATGTTGGTTATCCTTTATTAATTGTACCCAACTCTCAAAACCACAATCACATACATTGCCTATCTCATCATTCTGAGAAGGCAATGGCCGCTGCCATCAATTTCTCAGGGCAAGCCCTACCACGAAGTGTGGGCTTCAAAGCAAGGGAAGGAATGACCCTCATCTCCTTGCCCTCAAAAGGGTCATGCATGCTAAAGCAGCAAAAGATGAAATTACAACAACATGGAATGTCCATGAGAAGCCAAGCAGGGAGTAAAACCTCCATAACTGTAGTGTCATCAACACGCTTTGATGATTATGAATCAAGTCCGTTTTCTGCATCCGATACGATAGCCGAGTTCTACAAATGTATCAATGAGAAGAACTTGCAGGAATTAGATGCTTACATCTCGAACGATTGCTGCTTTGAGGAATGCTCCTTTCCTAAACCATTTAAGGGGAAAAAGGTACATCTCTAGTCTCCTGTTGTTTTCTATAATTTAACTAAACGATACATGCAATATTTGTTTTCCACAAATGGAACCTAAAATTAGATGCTACAGGAAGTTGTGCAATTCTTTGAACAACTTATGGCAAGCATGGGCCAGAATGTGAAGTTCAATGTCGAACACATTTGTGAAGATGATGACCTTACAGCTGGGGTAAATTGGCGCTTAGGTAATATCATCTATCATTGTGTCACCTATATTGCATCTATCTTATTTCTATAACTATATTATTCACGTACGAGCAATTTCATAAATTCAAAGAATTTAACTGCAGAATGGAAAGGGGCATATATTCCTTTCACCAGAGGATGCAGCTTCTATGAATGCTCAACAGAAGGAGACAGATTACTAATAAAGTAATAGATAAGCAAACTATTAAACCTATTGTCAATCGCATTAAGAAAACACAATTTGATTCTAATCAATAATCACAATGCAGGAAAGCCCGGGTTGTAATCGAGTCACCAATCAAACCAGGAGGCATAGTGCTGGTAATTACATAAAACTTTCTCCTAGAGCAGTTATTAATATGTTAGTATTAAACGAGGTGTTTTAATTTAAACAGGTATACTGTAATAGTTTCTTTTTTTTTTTTTCCCCACAATGTGAGTGTCTCTATTCTGATGTATCAGACTCTTTTGAAGAATTTGACTTCACTATTTGATGATTTCCCTAAGACAACCGAATGTAAGATTCAAACTCAAGTCATTTACATTTCAAAACCAGAATTTCATACAAAATTCAAAGCATCAAACTGAAGTAGCTTACTGGTTCTACTCAGCAGGGTTACTTAAGAGTCCTCAAGTAATAATACAGTACATAGTAAAGATCTACACCATGTTTTTGGCGGCTTTTATCAACCCAATTGTGACAGGCTACATCAACATGTGGAACTTCGTGATTCGATTACTTGGCTTTGCACTCAACATTCTAATAAACATTCTAAAGATTTTTCTCAAGTAAAGACTACTTACACAAGTTATGGCTTTCCTTTGTACACAAGCTCCAGCGTTAAAGGTTAAAGCTTCATACTCGTAGTCATTTAATCATCATCCTCATTGCTACTCCACCATGTTTCAAGCAATGAGAGAGCAACCAATGGGCCAATCATAGGAGGAATTGGTGGGGGCTTGCTGAAGGCTGCAATAGGCTCTGCATTCTCCTTTGTGATTAGCCCTCCAACTGCGGCGTCATTATTTACCAGTTTCTTTGGAGTTGTCGTGCCCACTCTATCTGGTTACAATAACACATTGCTGTCATGTAAGAATTTGTATTTGTTGTATAATTATAATAAAAAGGGCATCACAATTTACAGGAAAAGAAACATACCCCATGATCCTGTGATCGGATAGATTTGTTTCAGTCTCAATTTGTATTTTGCAAGCAACAGTGCAGCAGTTCCTCTCATGTATTCTGAGAAATTCAGCAATCCTGAAAAGTGAAAATTTATAAACTTTCCAAGAGAAATACATCTCGTCAAATTAGACTAAGCAAATTTTCTAAGGCACCAAATGACTAAGCGACTTTCAGTTAAACCAATTGGTAAACGTTTTATACATAGGCTCAAAAATCGACATATTTCTTCGAAAAAATCTTAAGCAAAACCATAACGAAAATAGTTCGATACTTCAAGTGCGACATGAAATGCAATAGAACTAAGTTGATCAACAACAATTACAAAGGAAGAACACAGAGACTGTCCATAGTCCATACCTGCAACTTCGAGTGTCGAGTTTGGAGCAATCAAAGAGAGAAATGCTCTGCGTTTCAGTTAAACGTGGAGAGTGTTGGAAGCTTCGAGACTTTGTCACAAACCGATCAGTTGGGTGCTAAATGGCGCTACGAGTCAAATGGGCTCGACCGCATGTAGTGAAACGTTTCATTCCTGATCTGGGCCTCAGTTTTTATGCCCAGTTAGCTCAGTTCGTAATTTTTATTTTTGGGCCTCTAGTTTGATACTAAATACCCCGTTCCCATTACTAAGTACAGACATATTTTAAGTCCCCACTTGAGCAGGTGTTTACCTTTCACGTCTCAATTTCAAATGATCAGCCAATATTTGTCTCACTCTCAGATATTTGAAGCCTATTCCGTGCACGTATTCAATTCCCAATTCCATAAGTTTTAGCACATTCACATCAAAGATTTTGTTAAGCCACCAAATCAAAGTTCTTAATATTCCCAATTTCTCGGAAATGCTTGAAAAAATTATTATTAAAATAAAGTTTGGTGTTAGCTCGGTGGACACTGGTACATATTCTGAGGAGGAATTTGTGGCCAATGACAGAAGCCATTACGCAAATGGCATTATGTTTATAAAGACGTCATTGAATTCAATTTACTTAAGTGAGTCATCCTCGAGCACCAATGTTGTATTTCTCGTGCTCCACGTGTTCCTTATTATGCTTCTGTGTGACCGCCCGTAGCCTTCCACGTGTAACCAAACATTATGCCTATTCCTTTGTATGGATATATAAAATAATAAAATATTATTGGCACCAATAAAATATAAGAGCACTACAAAGAAAACAATTAAGTAAAATCATATTGGACTTTTGGATTTCTTGATCCATCTTTTAATCTCTTTATCTAATTCTTCATTGCCTCCCACCTCTTCTAGCTCCTGCAAAAGTTGACACGTGTTACCATTACCTTGTGCCATATTACTGTACTTTAAAGAAAAAATTATTTGTATATGTTCTTACTTGAGGTCCCAGAAACAACCCATATGGCAAGCCACTGAATTTTTCCGAGTGATGAAGCTGATATGATATGCCAAAAGGGGACAGAAATTAATAATAAATTGATTATAAATTATAATATAATCAGATAATTAACAGATTATAGCATACTTGATGAGCTGCAGCAACTCTTCTTAAATATGGCACGTCTGCTATGGGCCCTACTGGAAATCGACGGTGTACCAGACCATCATGAACGAACATGTAGGCCATCCCAAACACTGTGATTCCTAAACCCTGGAATTTTCAGCAAGATCGTGTCAAATAACAAGAGATAACTGTTGATAAAACGCCTAAACTACTTCTGTAAGATGCCAAATCAGTGTTCAGAGGATGTTTGACTCTGACTAAACCGACAGAGGTTGCAAGATCTAATGCCTCGATTAACAACAAAACCATAAGGAAGAAGGACGTACGGCGCCGAAACAGAGTCCAGGAACAAGGCCTTTGTTGAAGAAGCCATAAGAAAGAAGAGCAATAGCTGGCAAAGCATTAGTTATTGCAAAAACATCATTCAGCTCTAAAGAACCGTCCCTTGGTCGATGATGAGACTGCAATATTTCAGAACAGAACAATTAATTAAGTTATTGATTTGAGTTCAATTAACCCTACAAAAAGAGCTCAGGTTATGTAAAAGTAATTAAAGTTGATTTAGAAAACAAAACTGGCCTTATGCATTGCCATAATGAAGCATGCCATAGAGCTCTATGCGCCCATCGCGCCCAAAACTCCATGCCACCGCATTTCAAGAGCACCCAGATACAACTCAATCCCAATAACAGAGTGCGGCAGAGTTACTCTTTGCTACAAATATTGACGAGCACAGCTTTAATTGCAAGAATTTAGGTAACTTACAGCGGCACCAACAGAGAGCGCAAATGTACCGAACATTTCTAGAAGTTGAACTCTCACCTGATAAAAGAAGCAATCAAAAACCAAACAAGAAAAAACATAAAGCAATAAGTCGTGAAACGCTCATTACAATTATATCGCAAGAAAGATTAGTACCTCCATTTGCCATGAAAATCTGTAATAAACAGCCAAAACTGCCATCGAAGATATGCAAGAGTAGACATGATTGCAGCAACGAGGTACGTCTGTCTCTCTGATTTTTTTCTTGCCCGTCTCTGATTCTGTGTTTCAACAAAATTATTCTTCTCAAATTTAACACCACCTTGTTTACTCTTCTCCATGACCAAACAGATTCGCAAACTCTGTTTTTCCGGTTATGATTCATCAGTGTTGAGCGAGTAAGGTAATACAGATACGGAGGTAGGTTTTGCCCTCGACAAAATATCGCGACCAACACGATACGTTACAACACTTGAAGTGGATGAAACTCCATTCGTCATAGAATTCAAATCAAAAGCTAAACCTAAGAGAAACCAAAGTTGAAGTCTGGAAATTATACGAAGATAAGTTAGAAATGAGTGCAGACACCGAGTGACCGACAGAGATTGAGGGACTGGATCAAGTTTGAAATAGGTTTTAATTTTATAGAGGAGGCAAAATGGGTGGAAGAAGCTGAAGTTAAGCAGGTGAAGTGTATGGTGACGTCTAACGTAATAATCTTTTAAGTTACTCGTCGATGTTGTAAACTCCGAAGGAACACATTACTCGTGTGTAACGTAATGAGTCCAGCTGTTCATTGATGGGTCTATTTAGCGGATGCCCTTCTGTTTGGGATCAACTCGGAGTCCTGAGAGATTTCTTTAGTACTATGCTCACCTAATCCATCGCACGCATCATGTATTTATCTGAATAAATTAAGAGGGATACCAGTCCCACAAAGAAGACTGTCCATATATTTACCACCGTATTTATTTTAGCTAGTAATGATAATGAATCTACTTTTTCAACCAAACAAATTGTCTTTCAATTTTCTCTTCTGTGTTATCCGATGATAACCTTTAATCACTAAGATTAGTATACTTAGAAGGTCTTCTATTCGATTCACAGAAAATATATTTAACATATTTATAATTACGTTGGTCTACTAGACTTGTAGGATACCTAATGGTCTTCTATTCGAGTTACAGAAGAAAACTTATCATAATGTGAAATTATCTTGATCCATTAAATTGTAAGATGTTCTGTAGTCTTAAGGATTAAACAGACTTTAATATTGACCTGATACTCAGTTATCTGAAAAATTGCCTTTCTAATTAAACAGAAACAGAAACGTGATTTCAGAAACACTGAGGAAAATCTGCTTTTTCGACCAAACAAATTGCCTTTCTAAACATACGCAACTCTTTTGAGCTATAGCTAGGCAACACTTTTGTCTATGCGATAACGGCCGAATCGCTGAGAATCTACAGTCAATTGTCAAAACATACATGTCGATATTATTTGATGGGGTCAATTAGGTAAAGCCCAAAGTCTTGTAATTTATCTTGGACATGTCACTGCAGTCTTTCAGGCCCAACTGTCTGTTGTAGCCAAGGCCCAAGGTAACACCGGAAATATTCTGATATGCATGAAGTCAAATTAGGAAGTTTGTCATAAACCTCTTTGGTTTTAAGACAAACAGGGGATGATTGTGGGGATAACAGAGAAAGCTCCTCGAGAATGATGAAGCAGTAGAAAGATCATCAACCTTTTATTTTCTTAAACCAGCATGACAACCTAAACATGATAAAAAAGAAAACCTCTAATCGGGAATAAAAAAGCAAAAGCAAGGAGAAGAAAACACAGAATGTACATTAATTGTATTGAAATCTGCTCTATCACAACTGTGGGAACTTCACACACCAAAGACGCAGCAAAACGCCCTAGCTCATTGGGTTGGTGGCATTTTTAAATTATCTAGAACAAATATTCAACCAACAGTTCGATGCTAAACCCTAAAAAACTAGCCATCATAGTTCATGTCATAGACTTATGAATTATCAATCATTAAAATTAAAAAGAGACATGGTGCAGGTTATGTGATCGGATAATATTGGTGAGAATCTAAACAAATTAAGTAGAATCTTAAAACTATTTAAATTGCAGTGATATCATAGCTGGATTTGCAATAAACCACCATTCATATTTGAAGTACGTACTGCACTACGCAATAACTGGCATGTCCTCGACTTTGGCCAAAAAATATTGTTTTGGTAAAGAAAGAGGGGGTATCATCGTATGGATTCTAAAGGATTAATATCCTCTTGTTTTATTGTTCCGTTTATGATTATGGGTTTATGGATGTACTGAACTCAAATATAAAGCTGTACTACGTCACTGAGGCTGAAAAAGAAAAAGATATCATCCTTTTCCAAAAGAAAAAGCAAAGACAGTTGGGATATGCTGTTGAGATCACTTATAGTAAGCACGAACCACATAAATATAGGCTAAAAGACATGGTCAAGAAAATTTCTGGTGTTTCTCCACTAAGTGCAAGGACCCCGTGAAAATATTCTACAAAAAATGATAATGGCGGGCCAAAACCAAGGCCTTTAATACATGCAGTGGTAGCGAAGTTTCTAGTGCTATTATTGTTGAATAGATCCCACTACGCCGCATTTACCAATTTGGGGTTGTCTATATCGTCATTGATCAGGCCTCTGATATTCTTACCCTTTCAGCGGACATTTACCTCCAATTCAATATCAATCACAATCAGGTCGTTTTCATCAACAAAGAGGAGTTTTTCTATTTCATTTTGATTCTTTACAGTAATGATCTGCATATCTTAACCTGTTGTCTAATCATTCTTTTGGAAGAGCATACCAAAACCAAATCTTGAGTCGGGTTCTACTCTGTGGTTAGAATTAATACAGCTAAGCATGCCACCAGAAGGAACTTCATTCTTCAAGTCAGAAGGGTTTATCTGATGAAGTAGGTAACCCTTTTAGGAAATATCTACTGCTCATGGCCTCAGATTTAGCCCCACTTTTCAACTTTTACCTATCTTCAAAATAGACATTCAAATGTGTCATTGTCGGGCCATAGACATTATAGTTTTCATCAGCTACTGCAAAAGGTTGAGACATATGGGCTCTCTATAAGTGACTATACCCTCGACAATTTCATGGCTATGGTTCAGTCTCTCCCAACTTCCCAGGACCTGATACACAAAAGATTCCTAATTTAATCATTCGAACCTCGATTTTATAACAATTAAGTTACAATTGTCAAAACTATTTTCCCAACAACAAAAAAACAAAAAAACGGTTTTTGGAAAATAAAAAAGGGGCCATGTTCCCATCGAGGATATTCAAGGACCTAACCAGATTGTACAGGCACTGATTTTGAAGGGTCAAATATGAGTATCACTAATTTCTTATCTAAGCGCCAAAGGAGGTGTTAGGGCCAAAAATCGTCGTTGACCCAAATAGAAGAACGGGACTGAATGAGGAAGAGACCAGGCCCAATCCCGATGCGATCCCATCCAGATTAGGCCCATTTGATATGAGATACAGTTGGCCCAAACTATCGGGTCCGTGCCTCCAAATCCAAATTCATTTCATGGATCTATGAGCAAGTCTAGAGCCCACGGCACCCACAGATCACTTTCCTATTTCAGATCAGTCTCCTATTCGAGGTCACCTTCCTGTTCAGGTCACTTTCCTACTCGAGGTTACTTTCCTGTTCGAGATCACCTTCCTATTCAAACACTAGTAAGATAGTTCACCACTGCCCTAATTCCTCTAGAGTTTGTATTAGAGTCACGTTGGGACTCCTACTCCCATCAGGACTGGGAGACCAGACTGTCACTATATAAGCAGAGGTCAACCCTCTCACAAGGGAAAGGAGATTACATTACACCTTTATACCCGAAGCTCATACTTGAGAGCTTCACATCATCGTCATAGTCACAGTCCCCGACTAGACTTCCGGTAACCTCTCTACTCCCTAGCCTTCACTATACTAGCCTTTTTCAGCTTTGCTGACTTGAGCGTCGGAGTGCCTAAGACAAACACCACCCCGGTGTTTTCCATTCGCTTCACGCATTTGTTTTTCTACGTGTGTAGGTGCAACAGATCGCTAGTGGCCTCAACTTTACGGGATCAGACCCCCTTCCGTACAAGTAGATTTTTACGTCTACAGGTGGCTCGTCGATGAACATAAGTAAAAAATTTTCCACTGGCCTCGGCCTGCAAGTTCCCTTTCCCGAACTATATACGTAAATGATCATTCTTGTTTTAAGCCTTAACATTTTATTTGAGGATCGAATACAATTCATCGATGGGTCCAGTTGCAAACAGTTCGTGGCCAACCAAAACTTTAATCTTCCTTTATATGTTAATTTGATGTTTAAAGCCATTCCTTTATCTTGATTCACATATCCATTAATTGATTACGATATACCTCTATAGCTTGCTTCTAATTGAATAAAATATTGCGGTTTAGGCCCAAGCCACATAATCCTGTCGTGATTGATGATAGTTATTCATGGCTAGGCAACAGTGCATCCGATTTTGAATCTTTTCTTTTGTGACTTTTATATATAGTGATGTATAATCACCTTTATATAGAGTGGACGTGGAAATTAATTACTTGCTTAGATTGTGAGATTGAAGATCATCAAGTCCTGCCTAGTAGATGCCACAACCCTCCAGCAGTCTGGGGCCAGTGTTAACCGTGTATTAAGAAATTAAAAAAATCTGTGTGCTAACAAAGGATTAGTCAATTGACTTGTCAACAGTAAAAAGAAATTGATGCCACTAACTTTTAATTAATGAACTTAATATTGCTTTAAATTGTTGATTAAGTCTACTGATTCGACATTTCACCCGCCAACACTGTGAAGCGACAGTTGAAGTGTCATTTTGACTATCTTAATTTGCATGGCTTTAATTGATTAGTGTATGCTAATACATTTAAGAAAAAAGTAATTGCACAGCTTGCAGATATTATACATATATAAGCCTTACTAGAATACTGGATAACATATTACCCTAATCTTTTAACCCTCAGATTATTTATAATCAAAGGTCCATGGACCAAAAAGCATGATCCAAGGGTTGTTCTTCTTAGATTACGGTCTTAATAATATAGTTCCATGATACAGTAGCTTTCTTTTTCTGATACTAGTTAGCCAGACTGCTAGTTAATAATCAGCAATTCACCAGTTGTTTTCGGAATAGCAAGGGCCGAATCTTATGTTTTTTTCAACTGCACTTCATGTTCCAACAAACAGAAAGTATATATAGCTGCTGAAGTTTTCATACATTATTTTATACTTTGTTTATGAAGGATTTGAAAAGACTACAGACAATGAAATGCTAATGCATTTCTAATGAAAAGAAACAGATATATACACCACCTCGGGTATTGATTTCTTTTTCACCTTCTTACTTCTAGACCACAAAGTATCCCCATGGACTTAATTAAGATTTGCCTGTTAGTTAATTACTTCTAGACCATTAATATGAAGTATGCATATGCAGTTGGTCAAGCTAAAATTCTATTATCCAGCTCATCGTATTGCTGACCAGCTGGTAGTAGCTAAAATCTATATGTTGATCATATATTCACGTATCTGAAGAAAGAGGGTTATGTAATTAAAGATTCCTGTAATTCTTCGTATGCATGACCAAAGCATTCATAGCTAGGATGCTCCTTTTCAACATCAAACTTAATTCTAATGCAATCCTGACAAAATTGGGTCTAACTACTCAATAATGAGCATAAAAGACCAACTAAGCATGATGCATTATATTAACAATGAAAATGCCCATACATATATATGTATCTACATACATACATGATCAAAACACACTATAAATTAGGGTTTTTACCTTTCCTCTCTCGTTACTTGTAATATTTCGATAATTAAACAGATCTAAAAGCAGCCATGAGTAGAGGTGGAAGCTATGGCGGCGGACAAAGTTCCTTAGGCTATTTGTTTAATTCTGACGAGAAACCAACCAAACCTCCGCCCTCGCAGACTACTGTTATCATTCCACCGTATGGTGTTGATACCACCACAGAGAACACTCCTGATGTTCAATCTTCTGGGAAACAAAACTTTTCAAACAACTACCAAAGGGCTCAAGGCCAGAACACAGGCAACTTCATAACTGTGAGTTCTCTTCATGATACTTAATTATAAAGAAGTGGATTTTTTATTTTTTTGTGATTTTGTTTTACCAACTACTTGAAATGTTTTTCAGGATCGTCCTTCAACAAAAGTTAAATCAGTTCCTGGTGGAGATTCCTCACTGGGGTACTTGTTTGGAGATAAGTGATGTTGATTGTTTCTTTTCTGCCTAAGAATAGCTGCTTTGTGGGATTTCAATAACATGTAAAAATAAGGGATTCAGTTCTCATCAGTACTCTTTCGAGCTCATGGTTATCCTTCTAGTTTATTATATGCATGTGTGCAAGAAAAGCAGTTTGTGTTAGTCTATGAATCTACAAATAATTGTATTTCAGTAATCGTCTTGTTTGGGTTTTTTTTGTATGACCAGATATGGAAAGAAGGAAGGGAGATCCCTTTCCATTTTAGTTCATTTCATGCTTGCTGCTTGCTTCTAAAACGATTATATGTTAATATTAAAATTAAGTTCTCATCGATGCTTAGTTATTTTTTTTTTTTTTTCTTTTTTTATACATATTAAAGTTTAAAGACTAAAGGTCTCTGAGTTTGAAATCTAAACTAAACTATAGTTCTTCCATTGGCGTGTTTATCAATGGACAAATTGATTATATATCATTGTACTTTAATCTATTTAATATGCTCATGGGAAGTGGAATCAATAGACAAATGTTTCCTACCGGGGACCTTTTTCTTTATTTCTTCAGAAACTCAGGAATGTCAGGCAAGAATCAACTTCATACTTTTATATAATCTCTTACCTTATCTTATCTTAGGCGTCCTTGCATCTACATGTATATATATAAGGGAAAATAATACGGTCACCAAAAGGAGTGTACCGAATTCATGCATCGAATGACGTAACGGAATCCTGACCATTGATTAATTATAAATTAATATTAATTGACAGTCAGGATTGCGTCACATCATTCGGTGTACTCCTTTCGGTAACTGTAGCATTACTCACGGTAACTGTAGCATTACTCATATGTAAGAGCATCTGTTCTTTATTTTAAAGAGTATCTTTCATATAAATAAAGAACATCTTCATTAATTTTTAAATATCAATAACACAATTTTTATTCAAACCCAATAGACTCTTTAAATTTAATGAAGATGTTTTTTATTTTTAAGAAAGAGACTTAATAAGAGAGAGAATTTATAAATAAAATATATAGGAACTTGTAGTTTATTAATTAAAATTAGGATAGAGAGCGAAATTTGACTCTCTAAATATGGAGAGTCAAACTCACTCTCTAATTTATATTTTAAAGATAAAGAGTCTGTTGGACTCTTATTTTTATGGATAAACTCTTTATAATAAAGAGTTTGAGTCATATAAATAGTCTTTTAAAGATGTTAGAATCCTCTGGAATATATAAAAACATAGCATTAGTTCTTACATTTTAGTGCAGTTAATAACTTCATATCTTTTCATATATAATCGTTAAACTTCACCAACTCATCTCGTAATGGACTAATTAATAATTCCTATGCACAAATAAGGGTTAATAAAACAGTACTTGTTTATGTTCATTAATCGACAAAGTCTATATGTCCAAGATTTATATTTCCTTACTTGTTTTCTTCTCTATTATCAGTTTTTTGTGTGTTAGCTGATTATTGAATTAAATTAAATAACATTAAGTGAGAAATAACTATTTTATACATAGAAAAGATAAACATATATATCTCAAACATTTTTTTTTTTTTAGCGGGGTGTCCGGGCTAGCTTACACGCATCTCAACTAATTCCTTGAGATCCATTGAATATCCTACAAACCCAATGTTCTAAAGTAAGTTACAAATGTGATAGATAACTTAAAGGTTCGAATTCAGGGAATCAATGTATTAAATAGTTTGAGAGATATTGACATTATTTTTTTGCATATAATTAGTAGACCTGAAGATTGCCGCAATACTTCACTCCAATGGATAGAGTATTATTAACTGTCAGTCATGGTATGATGCATGGTTTTGCCAATATGCAGTGCCATTAATTTGAGTAATAGCTAGCTTCTGTTGTTAATTCCGTAAGTGCTATAGACACCATACTTGTCTCACCAGGGAACTATAACAGCAAGTTCTGATGATCAGTTGATTCTTCCCTCCTGAGAACTGTCAAATAGCAGACTTTGTTAGAAACAAGCTATTTATTGTCTTTGTGTGCTCTTTTCTTCCTTTTATATGCAGGTTCAGTTTCGTCATATATCAGGAGCTCCATACCTTTTGATAGCTTCACTTCTCTATATATCCATTGGTTTGTGTTTCATTCATATATATGCTCCTCCTCTTTTGTTGGGGAGGGAAGCGAATATCCTTTTCATCAGTTAATATTAGAATAATGCAACAATATATTTGAACACCCTGTTTGAATTTAATGATGTAGCATTCAATCTCTTTCTGGCATACATATGACCTCCATCCATGCATCCTCGCAGAGCATGAGTTTAAAACGAAAAGAAACATGCGTTTTTAGTCTACTGTATTTCTTGGGTATTTTCTGAACTTGATACTGTTATACATGCATATATCTCTCTCGTTCTCTGGTTTCAGAGATATTTTCATATTGATGAAACCCTCTTAACTTTATACTAATCCGCCTGTGAATATCGTTGGGATCCGTTCAATGTAAATTCACTAAGTGGAAAGAACGTTAACAAGGTGCCTAACCATTCTTTTCTTCTTTAGCTGTGTGTAATGTTTTGACAAAAGGCATGCTTCACAGTCAAATATTATATGTATGGTGATCATTTATAGCTTTCACTTAGGCGGATAAAAAGATATATTGCTGTATTGAGTAAAGAAGAAGAACAAAAGAAAATTCAGATTTTGAACACAGCCATGATAATTCAAATCGTACTATCATATATAAAATCTTTCACAATGCAGAAAAATCCCGAAGATCAATTAGCCCAAACTTCAGCCATTGATATAAACTATATAGTCCGTAAGTATAGAAGCATGGCTGGATTCTTGGATGGGATGCGCACGATTAGTTCTTTGGGATCAATATATGGGTAGGTTAAGTAGAAGGAAACTCCATTAGTTGATCAGAAAGTTAACTACGAGGTAAAATTTTGGAATCTGTAATGCGAACATTCCACGATCAAATTAAGAATTGATGGGAGGCTCAGTCATCCATTAATAAAAGGGAAAAGAGAATTGAATTTTAGCATTACCAAATAGGCATGTGTTATTAGGGTTGGGCATAATACCCGTCCTGGCAGGGACTTGTCCCGACCTGTCCAAATGGGGCGGAGTTTCTCCTAATTATTCAGGATTTGGATCAGGCCTAGGTTGAAAATCGATCCCCAAATTCAGGGATGGGCCAAGGACGAGATTGGTCTTGCCTCGGTCTGGCCCAGCCTGTATATATATATACGGGCTGGGCCAGACCAAGGCAAGACCAATCTCGTCCTTGGCCCATCCCTGAATTTAGGGGTATATATATATAATTTTAACCATTTAATTTTATATTAATTTTAATAGTTGAAAATCAATCAATGAAACCATAAATTATACAAGAATAAATTATAATTGTGTGAATATTTTATAAAATCATATACAAATAGGTAATAAATAAAACAAGATTAAATATAATAAATCATTATAAATATTTGTAATACATAATAAATATGTTATATATGTATAATGTATCATTTGATATACATAATATATATATTATTTATGTATAATATATTATTTGATATTTTGATTGATTATAATAAATCAATAAATCATTATAAATTTTTTTTCCCCTCGTTGAATCATTATTTGAATTCTATTACTTTTAGGGCTAAAAATCGTCTTGGGCTAGACGAGGCCCAATAACGAAATAAACATGTCACGACCCAAGACGTCAACTTAATCCCGATTGGGTCTACGCTTAAAATCACTTTGTGAACTATCCACTCTATGAGTTGGGCTATCCTATAAGTTAAGCTAAATTGGGTTTCAACTCATTAGCCTGTAACAGTCTATAAATAGGATATCAGAATCCCATTCTATTTCCTCTTCTACTAAGATTCCAAATCTTACTCAAACTATCAAACTTGATCTGATAAAGTCAAAAAATCATATCTCTTTCATGATAGGGATTATCTCCCAAAATAGTTCTTAGTGTCCTACTAACATTCCAACTTTTATTTAAACTATTAAACTTAATTTGATAAAGTCAAAAAATCATATCTCTTTCATGATAGGGATTATCTCCCAAAATAGTTCTTAGTGTCCTACTAACATTCCAAATCTTATTTAAACTATTAAACTTAATCTGATAAGGTCAAGAAATCATATCTCTTTCATGATAGAGATTATCTCCCAAAATAGCACTTAGTTTCCTACTATGACTCCAAATCGTATTTTAAACTATTAAACTAATTAATCTGATAAGGTCAAGAAATCATATTTCTTTCTTGATAGGGATTATCTTCCAAAAAAAGGACTCAATGTCCTACTAGGATTCCAATCCCTTGGGTTCACTATAAAAACAAAGGCTTGCCCTCTCATTAAAAGGATGAAATCTCCCATAGTCAATTTATACTATTCAAAATCATCTATTTGCTCCTAAGTTCTTGCTCCCAAGAACCTGACGCCTCCGCCGTAGTCCTAGCCTCCGACAAGACTCCTGGTAATTATTCATCTCCTTAATTCTTATCAAATAATCTCTTTCAGTCTCGTTGACTTCAGCGTTGGAGTGCCTATAGCAAACACCACCCCGGTGTTTTCCGGAAGTTTCATGCTTGTCCTTTCATGTGTGTAGGTCTAACGGATTGTCAGTGGCCTCAACCTCACGAGATCATACCCTATTTTCATGATGGTAGATTTTTTGTATCTACAGTTTGGTGCCCACCGTGGGGCCCTGACAATCATCTGCCAACAACGACTTACAACATGGGAGGTGACAGGGAACTCCTTTTGACTGACAATGTTAATCAGAAATTTTTTTTTTTCTTTGTTTGTTTTATCTATTCACATGTCATATTATATCTATTCAGCATATCGTAATTTAGTTTATATTATATCCATTCAACGGGTAGTATAAGACCTTGAAGCTCATATTATTGTTCTAAATTAATAATAGTTTCATATTATTGTTCTAAATTAATAATAGAATAATAATGTGTCAGAGTTTAAAGTGGTGTTCCTAAACCACTTGATTCATTGACCTTGCTTCAACAATCTCTCTTCTCTAATCCTCTGTTCAGATAAGACAATAGCTTCTGTCTCTAACCTCTCTACACGCGCCTTTTCACTTCAATCATCAAACCACCATGTGGTCTGCCACCGTCATTAGAGCTTTGCAATGCATTACCTGGCATAAAACCAGTCAATTTGGTCCTTCAAGAAAATGCCGTAATACGCCAGCATCTCCAGGACCTTCGCTCCATTAGAAGGTAACTCAAACTTGAC